CCTACCAGCACTTAACCCACCCTTGCCCACCTCTTCCCCCAGATGAAGTTCTCGCTGGAGAAGCTGCATCAAGGCATCACCGTCTCAGAGCCTCCCTTCGACTCCCAGCCACAGCCTGATGACAGCTTCTCCTGAGGACACCTGGCCACGTGGCCGTCCCCCTAAATGGACAGATGGACACAGAGGCTCGGTGGCCACTGCTGGCACGGTGTGAGCACCGGGAGCCTCCCACCCACCCCTCCCAGTGGCCCGGCCAGGGGGCCGCACAGACACGGGGACCACAGAACCGAGATGCACTTTAGACCAGCGTGTGCGAGTCCAGCTGCCATCGCCTGCCCAGCCAGGGAGCTGGCCCGGCCTCCGGCAGGCCCTCTGCTAAGTTATTTTGCCCGACTGGGGTTGTGGGGGGCGCCTCCCAGGGTGCACGATTCCCTCAGCTCTGGGTTTAATGTATTATATTTATTTGGGGCTGACAGGGCCCCAATAAAGGGTTGGAAATGGCTGTGGCTGTGGCTGTGGCTGCGGGCCCCGGGGGAGCAGGTGGGAGCCTCCTGTTGCCCTCAGTTCCCGCCGTGGTCGGGAAGAGGGTTCATTTTCTGGGGCCACGGTCACTGACACAACCTGGAATTCCCCAGCATCTTTCACAAGCCTTGCGCCATCGGGTGCCAGTGTGGGGTCTCTGAGGACAGCCTGGTGGCCAATGGCTTGGGTTCAGTCCTCCTTCTGATAACTTGGCAGCCATGTTGCCCGGAGCAGGTCAACCCCTCTGAGCTTCAGTTTCCTCTTCTGCACAATGAGCATTAGAACAGCGCTTGTCTCCCAGGGTTGTTAGAAGTGAGTCGTTCTCGAACTTTAGCTGCATCAGAATCTCCTGGAGGGCTCTTTACAAAGCAGACTGCCGAACCCCACCCTCAGTTTCTGTCTTAGTGGAGATTCTGTGCTTCCAACAGGTTCCCAGGTGATGCTGAGTGTCCAGGGACCCCACTTTGAAAACCACTTGATAAGGATTCAAGGAGTTAATAAAAGTGGTTACTTAAAACAGGGCCAGGACAAAGTATTCCATAAATGTTACTCTAATGGCAGAAAAATTGAGGAAGAAGTAATGTAGTGAGCACCAAGTACATACCAGGCTCTGTGCCAGGCTCTGATGTTCACTTCATTCTCAGTGACTCCATGGGATGGAGACAAACAGCTAAATGCCTGGGGCCTCTCAGCAGGGAGGCAGGGTCTAGCCCCTGGCATCTCCACATTTAGATGCCAGAGCCTCCTTCAGGACCCCACACCAGCCTGTCCAGGTTGAGGCCAACTGGACCCCGTCTCACTGATGTGGAAATGGGCCTAGAGGCACGGTCTCTGGTCGAGGTAGAACACAGGTCTCACTTAAACCCTGTGCTGGTTCCAGAGTGAATGAGCGGTAAAAAAAAAAGACCTTTGACAAGCCAAGTCGGGCTGTAAGAATCTTAATTGATGGTTTGGAGAAGAAGACTGGAGGAAGGGTTGGACAGGGGCAGGATGGACCACAAGTGGCAAAGAGCAGAGCCAGCCTCTCCTATCCTCTAGCTATGTGATCATGGCAAATTACACACCCTGAGCCTCAGTTTCCCATACCTGTAAAATGGGCATAATGGTAATACCCACCTTGTAGGAAGAATTAAATGAGTTAGTATTAGTAATGTGCTTACAACAGCACCAAGCCCATAGTAGGTGCTCAGTGACATGTTTTTAGGGCTGTCACTAGGTGCCCCTGCCTGGTGCCTGAGGCCTGTCCTCACTGTGCCTCTGCCTGCCACCTCCCCCCCCCACGAAAGGGAGGAATCAGAACAGCCAGAGAGTTATT